TAAGAATTGTAACAAATAAAGCAGTTTAGTTTCCGTATTTTACTGACCAGTTTGTATGACTTCTGTTGACAAGCTGCTTGATGGGGGGAAAAAAATTAATCTGCACATAACTTTGCATATTTTAGTGATCACTTGTGCATAATTCTCAAAACCTTGATACATAATTCCTCAGTGTGTAATTAATAGTTCTATGGGATTTTTGGTTTAAGGAAATCCATGTCTACTGTGCTTCATAGCTGCTGAGATATGGAACGCTTTTATGCCTAAGCTTTGCAAAATTATAAAGCAGAGAAAAATATGTTAAAAAAAAAGTGATTCTTTTCTGCATTTGTGTACTTGCTGCCAAATGCGTGAATGAGGCATTTCAGGATGGTCTATTTAAGCACAAAATAATAAAAGTGTCAGTGAAGCAGTTATGTTGATTTATCAGGCCTGTAAACGTGGTAATAAAGTCACATAAAGCACAACTAGCATTTTGATTCTAAAAAAGATTGGTAGCTCCCATAAAACAAAGCTATACATACTAAGCAGGCTTTACAGATTACTTGTAATGTGTATGTCAGAGATCCACAGGGCAAAAGGTAACTTCTGTGCATCTCACTAATACTCTGCACTGTACTATGATCCTCACCGTATATGTTTTACATAGTGAGCTGGCCAGGTTTATCAGTCAAACACTGAATCAGATGGTGATTAATGTAAACACAAGACCTCTTTATTTTGTTTCAGCAGTACATGGGTGCTCATTCAGCACAATCAGAAACAAGCAGAACAGTGCAAAAAACAAATACCATTATTCCAAATATACTCCCCCCTCCAAGATATACTTAATTAGAATAGAAAGGAGGAACTGAATAACATTATTTCTGTTGGGTGTTTTCCTCAGAAACAGCTGGAAAGAGAGAACTGGGACTTATGTACAACAGGAACCAGGCAGACTGGACCATTGGCCAGTTTCAGCAAAACTGGCCCAAGGAGGTGTAAATTACATGCTGGGTAGGAAGGGGTGTGTTCCCTAAGGAGAACAGCCAGTATTGCTGCCACAACCCTCTCTCTAGGTCCCTGCTGAGGGAACAGCTTAAGTTGCACAAGAACTTCCCCAGAAGGACCCTGTGAGGGGATGTACTGAATCAGCACGTTGCCCATACAGCCCAGCACTGCTTCTTGTGCTGTCCGTGGCTGCTGAAGCTTAGTAGAGGTTGCACGATTGCTTTGCACAGCTGCAGCCTGGTCCCCTAGTGAATGTCCTAATGTCAGTGACCTACACTAAGGTTTACATCAACGTAGGTCATTGTCACCCTGGAATGAACCTAACCCACTAGCTTGGAACCTTACTGGACACGGAACGGGAACATAAAGATAAAGAGGATAGTCTCAGTGCAGATTCTCTGGGATAGGCATCCACCTCACAAAAGCCACCACCATTCCCTGGTGGCGGTCTCAGCAGAAAAGCCATTGAAGGCTCATCTGCATTAGAAAATGTTATTGTGTTTCAACACAACTGGGAACCCTGGAGTTAGATGAGACGAAGGTGACCATGACTTTGTGGTCAGTGTAGATTAGGACAAGCCATGTTAGGGCACTCGCCTAAGATGTGGGAGACCAAAGTTCAAGTCACTGCTCCAATGACTATTTATAACAAGTGAAACAACTTCAGCAAGAAAAAGTGAGAGCTACCCTAGGCTGCCCCATAGCCCAGTGGTCACAGCACTCTCCTGCACTGTGGGATACCCAAGTTCAAATCTCTTTTCCACATCAGGCACAGAGGAATGGTCTTCCCCATCCCAAGTGAGTACTCTAACCACTGGACTAAAAGTTATAAGGAGGGCACCGTCACTGCCATCTTCTAACCCTGTCAGCATTTTGTGAATCTAGCCCTTTAAAAATATCTGAAACAAAACATTACTAAATGGATTTTTTTGACTTATCAAAATTTTTTGAAGTTTCTGGGTTTGGGTTAACTGAAACCATATTCTTTTTATTTTTCAGAACTGCCAGGGAACCAAAAAATCAGTTATTCACCCACTGCTAATTATAATTCTCTGGATATTCTTGATGTCTATATAAATGTCCAGTTCCCTTTTGAATCTTGTCAAGTTCTTGGAGTCACTGACTTCTGTGGCAATGAGTTTCACAATGTATGAAAAAGAATTTCCTTCTATCAGTTTTGAATGTCCCACATTTTAATTTCACTCAATGTCCCCTTGTTTTTGTGTTATGAGACAGCGAGAAGTTTCTTATATGCCTTCTCAACACTATTGATTATTTTATATTCTGGTTTCATGTTCCCTCTTTCCACCTTTCTATGGAAAATAATCCCACGCTTTTCCATCTGTCATTATAAGAGTGTTTTTCTAGGCCCTTGATCGTTCTTGTTGGTCCTCCCCTCTAATTCTGCAATATCCTTTTTGAGATTGGAGTGACAGTACTACATACAGTATTCCAGATGAGGCTGTACCATTGATTTATATAAATGCATTATAAAATTCAAAAGCTACACATCTTGTCATGCGTTATGGATTACCTATGGGAACACTTAAAACTATACATGTTTTGAAGTCCTTGTCTGATTATGCTGGTAATATCTTTGATTTTTAGAACTGAAATATTCTTTAAAAGAACTCCAATTTACTTTTGTCCATTTATGTTGCTTTTTGTTGTGTTTTGCTGTCCACACTACAGGCTAAATTTAAAAGCCTGTTTCCACAGAACTTTTCTTAATTCAATGAAAATATTTTTATTCATATCAGGTTCTATTAAAGGACCCCTCTCCTCCGGTCCCCACAACCTACACTTGAGCATAAACTACTTGACAGGGTTCCTTTAACTCTTTCTTTACCAGCAGAAATTACACTCCAGCAATGAAAACATTCAGTACAAATGAACAAATACAGAATCTCTCTCCTCAGTCTACAATGCCTTCTATTGGCAAAAATCACAGAATAACTATAAACATTAGGCCAAGGCAACATTTTAAAGTGCAGATCACCACTTGCTACACATGAATAATTCAAATAATGCTGCATAAAGCATAGGCAATATTTAGTAGCAATTTCATTAATAAATAAAAGCAGAAGTTTAATAAGTGACACAGTAAGATAAAGACATAAAATTTCAAATAGATTCCATTTATAATAAATAAAAAGTGCTGGTCTTAACATAGTGCATATTAAGCATATTGGTCCAGCAAGCTAGCCTCCCACAGCCCATCTTTTTTCTGAATTGCATGCTGCCATTGAACATAAATGAAAGACACAAATAACATCAAAGATTCCATCCAGAGTCTGGGTAGACAACTGGAAGCAGTTGGTTATATGTGCTTTAGAGGTTCTCTCACCCATTTGTACTCTTTGGGCCAGACGCTCAGCTGAAGCTCATTGTGCTATGACAAGTTACACCAGCTGAGGATCTGGCCTTGTCCTTAGTTCTGTTTCGTATCTTCCCTTTATTCCTGGAGGCCAGCTCGTATTTTGTTTGTGGTGTATTTTTGTGGGGGTTTTGTGCTTTGATTTGTCTTTATTTAGGCAATTTTGTGCAAATGGTGGGGTGGTGGCAGAATTTCATAGAAAACCTTGGGGGGGGGGGTAAAATTCCACAATGGGATCCTCAGTGACTTTTCCCCAAATTGTTCTGCTGTGTTTTGGCTGCTATATCTTGCAGATTTTTAGGGATCCTCTGGAGCTGTGGTGGCAACCTGTGGCCTGCAGGCTGCCACTTCCCACTGCTTCCATTGGCCGGGAACGGCGAACCGCAGCCACTGGGAGCTGCAGGCGGCCATGCAAATGTAAACAAACGGTCTGGTGGCCCGCCAGCAGATTACCCTGACGGGCTGCGTGTGGCTCATGGCCCGCAGGTTGCCCACCACTGACCTACACTGATGGGAGGCTTCTCCCATCAGCATCGGTACTCCACCTCCCTGAGAAGTAGGGTATGTCTACACTACAGGATTAATCCGAATTTAGATAATTCGAATTTGGGAAACAGGTTGTATAAATTCGATTGTGCGCGGCCACACTAAGCACCTTAATTCGGTTTTAAACCACATTAATTCGGTGGTGTGCGGCCACACTACCCCATTAACTTAAATACAGTAATTCGGTGGTGTGCGTCCACACTAACCCTAATTTGAATTAACAAAATCGATTTAGGCTCTACTCCGTTCGTCGAGGTGGAGTACAGAAATCGATTTAAAGGGCCCTTTAATTCGAATTAACTGGCTCTGTAGTGTGGACGGGTGAAGGGTTAATTCGGATTAAGGCAGCTAAATCCGAATTAAAGTCCTAGTGTAGACCAGGCCGTAGTAGCTATGTCCACAGGAGAATTCTCCAGTTGACCTAGCGCTGTCTATGCCTGGGGTTAGGTCGTCACTCAGGGGTGTGGATTTTTCACACCCCTGAACAACATATAGTTATACTGACCTAATTGCCTAGTGTTGAACTGGCCTAGAGGAAAGGTCTCTGAGGGTATTTAAATTCAAGTGCACTTCCATTGTGTTACAAAGCAATCACGAAAAAGAGGCATTAGGCCAGCAGGAGGTAAACCAACTGCCTAACCCCAGAGGCAAAATGGTGGAGCTAAAACATAGGGAAATGTGCTCTTCAAGGGAAGAGTTTAACCTCACAGACTTTTTCAAAAATTAAAAGGGCATCTTTAAACTGGAAGCGAACCAGACTGGGATTATGCCTGCCTCTGTGCTCAAACACAGATAATAGTTCCTGACAAGCACTTTCAGGAACAAGTAAATTCTATAAATTTAGACTGCTCTGGTTTTGCTATTAAAAATCCATCTCAGTTCAAAACTATATTCTACAGGAATTACAAATATTGTGAACACACAGGGAATATTTATGGATCCTCTGTTTTTATCCACTCATTTTATACAAAACTTCTTGATCATTTGGAAGTTGACAGTTGGGGTGGGAGAACTTTCCCTTTCTGACCTTAAAAACTATGAAGTTTCTTTACCAAAAGAAAATTTCTGATTGCAGAAATCACTGGGCCTGATCTCTCACCAGTTTAAGTCAGGAGTAATCCCACTGAAGTCAATTCAGTTAACTGGTATAAATTGCTGTGTGCGAAGAGAATCAGGCCCAGAGGTTCTAGGCTTAGAACAGAACTAAAAACATGCAAGGTTTGAATTCCATTTGGCTCTGGCAATCTGTGAGCTCCAGACAGCTGCACGGTTTTCATTTGGAACCTCTGGTAGAGTAGGTATACCGCACTGGCTTTAATCTAGCTGCCCCTGCTTTCTCTTCTGCCCGCCCCCCACTGCTCATGGATGTGATTTGTAAAGATGGATTTAGAAGCTTTTTTCTTATACAAATGTGATCATCTTGGTAAGGTAAATTGTAATCTAACAAGGCTCATAATTATTTTGCAAATTCATAGCATTAAACGAAGAAACTGAGGTGTCACTCTTGACAATGAGGCACTGCATTTAACCAATCCCTTCGAACTTAGATGCAGAATGATCCATAGAATGTTTTGCAGAACGGAAATGAAATTATACTGAACTTGAAAAAGGAACCACTTGCTTGCCTGCCACATATACTTCATTAATATTCCGATCATCACCTGAAACAATAAAGTCAAAAGATTTTTGCATAAATCTATACATCTTATGCAACTAGTGTAAGTGACACAATACTCAGCATCAGGTGTGGAACTGATCACTTCCAAAGACTGCAGCACATAGCCCCCTCTTAGACTGGGAAAGGGTTCATGTGGCATGGGCCTTCTATTAGGAAGATTTCCTTCCCCTCCCCTAAATCTTAAAAGAATGAAACTGGCAGTGCTAGTCCTGTAGATCTAAAGGCTGGTTTACACTCAGTTTTTGCACTAATTAAAAAATGTGGTTATTCAAACAATTCCATTAAATTGATGCCAGAATTGAGTGTAGGCCAGCCCTTAGTCCAGCCAATCACAAGTAAAGAGTGTGTATGTTTTCCTGAGAAGTGACTTCCCATCTTTCTTGCTGAGAACAAAGGCATACTACATCAAAGGGCATTAGGCTTTGTAGAGACTGGGCAAGTGATTTGTGTTTAAAAACGTGATTTGTGTTAGCGTTAATGCACTGTTAAACACCACTTAGCTTCCAGTGTAGACACAAATAGTCATGGTTAAAAACCTGCTAGTTGGTTGGGTTAATCTTAGCCTAGCAGATCACAGGATTTTGTGTAAAACATATGTTGTGTAACCACATAACATAGCAAAAATGCTGTACTTCTCAGTTCTTATTTAAACATTTGTGATTTTAAAAGAATAACAAGGAAAAGCAATCAATCTCCATATTATGTCAGAAGATTATCTAGATAAGTATGAGATAAAGAGAATTTTTCTGTATAGTGAAGGCTGGGGCGTACCTAGATACAGGAACTTCTGGATAATATCCTGAAAATATGGAAAAAGCACAAATTTCAGAAAGCAGTTCCTCTCTTCCCAAAACACATCTGTATGAAACTAAAAGACTGCAAAAACAAATTCACATAACACATGCTTTTTAACTGTAAAATCAAAATTTGATTTGTCTATTTGCTAAAGAGGCTATATCTCTTAGAAGAGCCATATCAGAAAAATGTGGCACTATAAATTAGATAACACTTCAACAGGCATATTGTTCAAGTCATAACATTTTCCTCTACTCACTCTTTTGTCTTCCCACTGATCAGCTAATAACCTTGTTTAATTTGCCCAGTAAAATCTTTGTTCTTTTTTCTTTACTAAATAAACCCAGCTAAAAGATTATGCTAGCATTAATAAACAAGTTTTATGTCACTGGCATCAACAGGTTCAAATTCATGACACTAGATTTCAGTAGAACAGTCCTAGGGATTAATCTGGCCTATTGTTTTTACCAGAGGTAATGGGATAATGCCAACATTCAGGAGCAACACTGGTCATTAGGGACTAATGGGGCTAACCCTCACCCATATTGTCACTGAGTAGTGTGGCTGATATACTGTAGGGTGCAGTACCCTGGCTGTCACTTAAGTACTCCTGGAAGGACCCTTGCTGCTTCAGCCCCTGAATGCTACAGCATCCCGTCTCCCTCCTGGATCTGCAGCTTGCTCTTTTCAGTAACTTTCTGAAGCATTTCAATAATTTAGTGGTTTGATTACCTCAAAAGTATCTCCAGCAAACAAGTCAAAAGGACTGTCTGAAGCCTTGGGGTTGATCAGCAGTGCATCAAATTCTTTGCCAACTTCAAAGTTTCCAATCACATCATCTAGTCCTAGGACTGTGAAACAAAATTAGTTAATAAACGAGCCTCTGGTCTTCTGCACATTCCATTTTGTACAAGTGTCTGGCAACTTGTTTGAGATCTATGTCCAGATGGAAATCTGCAGATGTTTAGATTGCTATGACAAAAAGCAGAGCTTTAAAATAGTGAAATAACGTAACCTCTGAATTCTTAAGAGACTTTTTTCATAAAAAAATTGTTATTAGAGAAAAACGTTAGGTAAATAAGGCAAGTGAGAATGAAATTTATAGCACCTTTTAAATTGTCATTAAATGTCTTTTTGTTTTACCTTTTTAACATCATCCTATGTCTAGGTTCCACTGCGTCATCAAGTGATTGATTATTCTAATTTCAAACACCTAGGATGAGCAATCTCTTACATTTCCAAATGTCTTTTTATCCTGCAGAATCCAAAAGCACTTTAAAACTACATACTTATACCGAAATGCAGCCACTTGTGGGGATAACATGGACATAATACTTGCCTACCTCACAATGGGGATGTTAGGCTTAGTTCATTAATGTCTGTAAAGTCCTTTGAGGCTGAGCTTCTCTGACAGAGGGTTATATAGACTAGAAAGTATTTATTATGATCATAATGTAAGGTATGTATTATTATTCTGGAAGGTGTAACAACCAATAAGCACCCAGAACATTACGGTTAGAGAAAATTTTGGCCCAGGACAAATGGAGCACACCCCTAACTTTTTATAAAAAATGTCACAGGATGTCTAATGTCCACACAGAGAAATTGTTTTACAACATCATTTTACGCAATATGAACCCACTCAAGCATCACAGGTGCAAATGTTTTTTTAAAAATTGAATGACACTTGCAATATAACGGGCTTAAACTATAAATAAAAATTGGTTTGTGTACTAAGACTAGCTTTGCAACCCCCCAAAAACTGTCCTGGCTCCTAGAGGCTTGCGCAACATCACGCTTCAGAAGGTTCACTCTATCCTGATTTTTTTTCAAGTTCTGTTCTAACAGATCCTCACACAAAGTCAGATCATGCATGGTGCTGAGTGCCCTTAATGGCAGCTGAAAGTGCTGAGTACCTCATAGAAGGAGTGAAGCTCTAATTCTTTAGCATGAAGGGTGCAGAGCTAAACTGACCCCTGCCAGGATTTGAACATGTGTGTGAATAGTTTAGCTAATGCAACCCTGAACACAGTGTGGCCTCAGTCCTGCACCTAGATCTGCATCGGCAGTGCCTGCATACAGCCCCACTGATTTCAAGCATTTGCCTGTGCAGAGCCATTTGCAGGATAGAGGAGATGGCTTAGGCTCCAAGACAACTCCTGGGCAAATTCCAGTTATGTAGTTATTACTTTTTGCCTGCAGACTTATCATCCTATAGGGCCAATCAGATAAAGCATTCTTCACTTACAGCCTGATTCAATGTCTAATGAAGTCAATGGAAAGACTCAAATTGACTTTAATGGGCACTGGATTAGGCCTTTTAGTTTCAGTGACGGGTGTCTACATAGATTGTAATTAAGGCGGGCATGTGTGCAGACTGCTTTGGGATCTCTGGATGAAAGAGCTCTTTATAAAGTCATTTGTTATCAACTAAAACACAGCAAAAATTCTGTTAAGAGTTTACTGAGTCTGCAACCAGTTTATATTTTTCTGGTTCATCTCCAACTGATCTAGTATGCTGCCAATTCATTCAATTGGGTAAATCTCACATGAAGCCTTGCTGAAAAGAACTCTGGAGTTTTTAAAGCTGTATGTTGTCTGCAGAATTGTTTCTTGCACTTGGACAGGAGAGCATGAAATGAAGGCCAAACAGAGGGCTGTAAGGCTTGTTTTATTTGTTAGCAGGGTCCTTCTCCCCCTCCCCTTTTTTTTTCTTCTTTATTATTTTGAGCCTTGTACAGTAATATAAAATGACAGCCCTTTGGGTCTGATTTTCAGAGGTGCTAAGCGTCCACAGTCCTCACTGAAGTTAATGGGATTTGCTCAGCACTTCTAAAAATCAGGGCTTTTGTTATTTTAGTTTCCTTTGAAATGATCTAGGATAATTTTAAGTTTGTATGAATAATTTGTAATGTGAAATAAACTTTACAAATACCCCAAAATTGTCTTAGAAGGCATTGGGATTGCATAGGGTGTAATATCGACACAGTATCTGCTCTTTTGTTTTTTTAGATAGTTAATGGATGGCAATGGAATTTTAGTCTCTGAAGAAATTTGAGAGCTACACACATTTCACAGCATTCTAGAGATGTTTTAAAAAAAAATCAGAAATGATAAAATGTTAGCTTTGTGGAACATGGTTTTGAATGAAATTAAACACCAAAGGTATGTCCAGAAGCTACTAGACAACTGTGGCTGGCCCAGGCCAGCCAACTCAGGCTCATGTGACTTGGGCTGCTGGGCTGTTTACCTGCAGTGTAGATGCCCAGGCTTCTAGGACACTGCAAAATGGGAGGGTCCCAGAGCTCCAGCTGCAGCCGGAGCCCAGAAGTCTACACTGCAATGAAACAGCCCTGCACCCCAAGTCAGCTGGCATGGGTTTTTCTTTGCAGTCGTAGACATATCCCTAATTCACCTGAAAGGGTATAGTGAGATTTTTCTCTAGTGTGCTTTGTGCAGTTTCTCTGTTAAACACAAGAGGGTGTTAAAAGATCAGTAGTCTCAGCAGTCAAATCTAATAAAAGAGAGTAGCACATGTCAACAAAAAGAAATCTATATAATCCACAGTTTCCTAAACTGCAGAGGTCTAAGGGAGATAGGGGAATGTGTAAATAACTAATTTAGAAAAAGGAGATTCAATAAAATTAAAATAATTTAAAAAATCGATATATGACATAAGCCCTATAATGGTGTGTCTCTTTAAAGACCCCATATTGCTGGAACCTGAGAACCTCATGGCAAATGTAGACTCGTGCAAGATGTGACTGAAGACAACGCCTCTGCTAGTTAAATAATATTAAATCTGTACCCACGCTTGGGTTTGCTTTCCACTGAACAGTATAAACTATATTAAAAACCTTATTACAAAAAACATGAAGTGTAAGTATTCATTCAAAACATATCATTAACTGGAACACTGGATGTGCTGGCTATATTGCTATAGGTTAAAGACACTACTGAGTCTCTCAAAAAACATGTTGCATATGTTGTTTATACTTTCTTGGCGCTCCGGTCTGGCTGAGAAGTGATTTGGCAAGGAGGACTGTTTTGTGCAAAAGATTGTGGCAGGCAGGGCTGTCCCTACCTATTCTGGGGCCCTATGCAGCCCTCCCGTGGGGGGAGGGCGGGGCTGGCTTGGGGGACAGAGGGGAACCACTCCCCAGCACTCACTGGCTGCGCAGCTGGGGCCAGGCCGCTGCACTTCCCGCTGCCAGTGAGTGCAAGCCTGGCCCTGCAGCAGTCCTCAGAGGAGTGGGGGTGGGGCTGGGGTGGAGCAGGGGCAGGAAGAGGCAGGGCTGGGGGCTTTGGGGACAGGGTGGAGTGGGGATGGGACTGAGGCGGAGCAGGGGTGGAAAGAGGCAGGGCTGGGGTGAAGCAGGGGTGGGGGCCATGGGGAAGAGGTGGGGCAGAGGCTGGAGCAGCATGCAGCTGTGCAGGGCACCAGGAAATGTGATGCCCCAAATTTCCTGGTGCCCTACGCAGCTGTGTACTTTGCATATGGGTAAGGATGGCCCTGGTGGCAGGACTCAAAAGAAGAAAGAAAATGCATGAATGTGATGACAAATATAAGATATATGGTTTTACAGCAATTGTGCAGTGTTTTGAAGTGTTGGCTGCTGAAAATACAAAGCATTTTAAGTTACTGCAACATTTAGAAATCCATCATCCGCAAGTGAAAGAAATGTCTGAGGATTTTAAAAAAATGAAAAAGTACCTAGAAATTAACAAGATTCAACTACTCAAACTGGCTATGTCAATATGAATGCCCTTCTGCCATCATATGGTATCTCCATGAAACATTCACCAGTGTTAAGATTTTCTGCAGTGGTATGAACCTATCTTTCTCTGCCTTTCTCTGCACAACAGATGTGATTGTAAAGTTAGAGCCAGAAAAAGGGACCAAACTGAAAGCAAGACCATTGTCAAATAACTCCATGTTGTTGCCAAAAGTTTTACAATGGAGGGGGGATCCTAAAATCTGGCCCCATTTTAAGGATGGAGGACAGTATGCTGCAAAGCTGTAATCAAAGCATCACACACACATTCTAGAGAAAAAAAGAGTTTCTTTACCTTGGCTCCCTCCAAGAGTTGCTAGTCTGAAAGCTTCTTTAAGAGTTAAGCCTGTATTGTTCACTTTATTGAGTAGAAGGGTATTAGATGCAGACATCGTTCTCCTGATAGCATCAAGCATAGAAGATGAATACCCACCAGCAACATCTACAATAGATCAAAATCTTAAAAGTTAGCTTTTGGGGATAATGATCTGGGTGGAAATTGTATGACTTTTAATTTAACGTTACAGAATGGCAGACAAGATAAATAAGGAAAGGTTCATCATTATGCCCAGTCTTCAATGAGTCTATTGCCTAATTCCTAAAGAAGGTTTTTATATGTGCATGAACATCTCTATAAGGATAATACAGATCACATGCAGAATAATATAGATTATTTTCCTACAATCTAGAAAATAATTCCAGACCCCACTCCAGTTCTTTTTTGACTAGTGGAACAAAAACTATCTTCATTCACTTTCAAAACATTTCTCTAAAATTTTTTTGACCTGTTCTAGATGCAAAGTAATGGAAAATCAGGCCCACTGGTTGGGAGCATGTTAGTGCTTTAACATGAATATGTGGCTAGCCATTTGTGCACTAAATAGGCTCTCAATAAGTGATTCTACAGTAAATTACTAACCTGTGCCAAGACCAAGCTTCACATTGTGCTTCAGAACATTTTGTACGTTTAAAATGCCACTGCACAACCTGGATTGGAAAGAAACAGATCCTCCATGACAAACACAGAAAAAGACTAAAGGCTCATTCCTGCATTCAAGCAGTATGTGGGGGGGGGGGGAGGGAGAGGTTACCTTAGTGACAACAGAAGAAGGCGGCCCTAAAACAGTTCCATGGCAATGTCTCTTCAGTATACAAAACACTTCCCAAAATGTATGTAGCGCAGAGGTGGGCAAACTACGGCCCGCAGGCCACATCCGGCCCGCGGGACCTCGTCCTGCCTGGCTCCTGAGCTCCCGGACAGGGAGGCTAGCCCCCGGCCCCTCCTCCACAGAGCCCCGTCGCCGCAGGGGCAGCACTCTGAGCAGCAGAGCTGCGCACTCCTGCTGAACAGAGCGGCAGGCCGGCAGCCAGACACGCTGCTCTGCATGCTTTGCTAGGCGTGGTAAGTGGACTGGGGTTGGATAGGTGTGGGGTCCCAGGGGGCCTGTCAGGGGGCGGGGTGTGGATGGGGTCAGGGCAGTCAGGGGACTGGGAGCAGGGGGGTTGGATGGGGGTGAGGTCCCGGGAGGGGGCAGTTAGAGGTGGGGGGTCCCGAGAGGTGGCAGTCAGGGGACAGGAGCGGGGTGTGTGTGTGGATGGGTCAGGAGTTCTGAGGGGGGCAGTCAGGGGGCAGGAAGTGGGAGGGGGCAGACAGGGGGTGGGGGCCAGGCTGTTTAGGGAGGTACAGCCTTCCTTACCCGGCCCTCCATACAGTTTTGCAACCCCAATGTGGCCCTTGGGCCAAAAAGTTTGCCCACCCTTGATGTAGCGGATGATGCCTACACAATAGAAATAAAAAAATTGCGTTCATAAACCTGAATTATAAAACCTTGATCATTAAAAGGATAAAGTAAAATTAAAATAAAAACTCAGTATGCCACTTTTGTAGTCTTGTATTCATTGAGTGCCTCACTTACTGAAAAGCAGGGCCTTAATATATTCAGGAAGGAGGACAGCAAAGAAGGCCAAAAATCAAAAGCAGAGATGAAGAAATGTAAATTACAAACTGGCCGTGTGTAACTTAATGCCATAAATGATTCATCTGAGCAGTTAGGGAAGGTTCCATGGCAGTTGGAAGGTGGTTGATGGGGATTACAGGGCGTCAGGCGAACTGACACAATTGCTTGGATACTTGGCATGTCACCAGGGACTGGTTTGGGGCTAAGACTGGTGACCACAGCTCTCCAGAGACCCCATGAAGGGATGATGGTTACATTACACAAGAGGGCAGGAGCTAGAGGAGAGTAAGTGGTGGGAGAAGCAACTGAGAAGACTATGAGTTAAGGCAAAGGGGGGGGCTAAATTCCCTGCTTCTTTAATTTACGTGACTTCCAGCATTTGGCATGAAAATAATACCAATAAAATAAGACTTCTTTAGGGCCTGAGTTTGATCTTGCTTACACCCATGTAAGTCAGGAGTAAATACACTGAAGTCAATAGGAGCAGCTGAGTGCTTTTGAAAATCATGTCACTTATTTAGGTGCCTAAATAAAGATTAAGAGCTTAGCTTTAGGCTTCCATTTTTAATATCTTGGCCTTCTTTCATATATAATGTGATATGTTGATGTAGAAAGTCAAGATGGTTGATTTATAAATATGAAAAATAAAAACAAAATCCATTTTATGATCAAATCTGTTTCAGGAGAGCAGTTGAAACAAATCTGAGATTCCTTATGGAGCCAATTAATTGAGGCTACTGGGTTGCATGGCTTGTCTAGTTCTAGGGAAATTATGCAACACTCTAATGTAAACCCACTGCACTAGAGCAAAATGGGGCTTGCCCCATGTGACTTATCTTGGTAACACGCACTGACAGTGTTCCCAGGGGAAGTCACACCTGTGTAAACCCTAATGTAAACAAGCATGGAACTAGAGCTGTGCAAGAACTGGAATTTCTGTTTCATGGGCAATTCCATGATTTCGAAATCTGTTTTCAGTCCAAATAAGAACACAATCAGAAAACTGAGAAATTTCCTGTAAAGTATTTTTGTTTTGGAGTCAAATGGTTAGTTCAAATGTTGATATTTTTATATTATAATATACAATAAATTTTGAAACAAAAGGTTGTTTTGAAATGAGACATTATAACATTCTATTCCAATGAGAACATGGTCAGAATGCTTTGTTTTGTTTTTTTTTTAAATAAAATTTAAGCAAAATCAACACATTTCAGGAAGCTTCAATTTTGACAAAACAGCATTTTTCAAATGAAAAATATTCCATTGGGAAAATTTTGATCAACTCTACAAAACACAAACCTCACTAATCTAGACAACCCCTCAATATGCAACATTCTTCCCTTGTACCTTCCCCAAACTGCTTGGCCATGTCAGCTGGGTGCTATACAAGGAATATGTGGAGAGAGTGAGGGAACAATAGATGGGGATTTCCTGTAAACCAGAGGTAGGAGTGGGGGTTTCCTGCTAAATCTGTCATATGCTTCAACAAAGGCAATGTACTAAAAGGGGAGATATCCCAGTTCTTACAGTTCAATGTATGAACAAAGAGCTCTGTCAGCACAAAGCAGTTCCTGTTCCACATCATGCAGCAATGGAACACGAGCGAGTATTCCTCACTCCAGTGCAGGGGTAGTCAGTAGGCGGACCGCGAGCCAAATCTGGACTGCCAAAGGACCCCAAAATCTTTTTATTTACTTATAATCATGATTATTGGTGGTGTTTTATTATTTTATCTGGAATCTGGACCTTGGCTATACCTTGACCAAGAAATTTGGACCTTGACCAAAAATAATTGACTACTCCGGTTGCCTATGGTCCTATAAATCATGACATTTAGTCACTGCAGGTAGAATTTACACCACTGAATCACAGCCCTGCCTATTGTATCCCATTAGCTATTTCTTTACTTACGAAAAGTTTGAATTGGGGCAATGGGCAATTGCAGCTCCTCGAAGACTAAAAAGTTTCAGCTCTTCGTCAGAGAGATGACAGCCATGGGCCATCACAGTCTAGAGAGAAACAACATGACACAGAAATTACTTTTTTTTGCCTGTGAATTTATTATTTTGTTTTTATTATCCACAATGCCATTTCCCATTGTCAGAGGTGAAGTGTGTATTAAGGACCTGATCCAAGACCTATTGAAGTCAGTGGAAACCTCCCATTAACATCAATGAGCTTTGAATCAGGCCTTAAATAATTAATCACTTCCCTTGGCTTTCTCTCCTTGCTTTAGAGGAAAAATAGTGGAGCTGATTCTTGCCCTGGCTCTATAACTGTCGCACAGGAGCCACAAGGGACTGGGCACGAATTCCCCAGGTGCATGAGCAGTGTAGGTCTGATTTAATCACCCTTATGCTGCCTCTCACAGGTCCTGAGATAGGGAATATGCTGGGGTACACTGAGGACAAGAGGATAGCACTAAACACTACAGAGATTCTGGGTTATTTTCTAGCAACAACTTGTTTCCTGCAATCCTGTCTTATATTTTGCACAAGAATGTCGACTCTGGAATGTTTTTAAATTAAAGTTTGGTGTGGAGATTATTATTTTTTTTCCTTTTTAGCCTCCTACAATGTGGATTTTAAAAAACACAATTTCTTAACATACTATATATATATATAGATATATATATATAAAGATCCTATACCTGTATGCTTTGTTATTTAACAGGGACATAAACCCAGTACTCTCCAACCAGCAGTCTGACATTTCAAAATATAATAAGTATCTTTTCCTTTCCCCAAATAAATCTTATTTTTTTAAGTATTTGACGGCATCTTTAGAATGATCAGATTTCCTGGAGGAGCCAAAGGGTTATACTGTCCATTTCACTGTTTTAGAACACAGTATGTTAGAGTGCCCAAACGATTAAAATTGCTTTTCTAATTTGGGTAAAGGGCTTGCGGCATTTTGGATCACAGTAGAAGTGTGTTGATGAAGTATTTGTCTATCACACACTACTTTATGACTGAGGCATGCCACCTAGCCTGTGAAGGTGTCAGCATCTAGAAATATAGTAAAAGTTTTGGACAGTGATATTTTGCATGGTGAGTACTAAAGATTTACATGGGCTTCAACTCAACAGAAAACTTAAGCATATTCTTAACTTGAAACACTTGAGTAATTCCACCTGGGTAGTCCCATTGGAGTCATGGGCTGGATTCTCTATTCTGCAGAGTCTACCTTGTGCCACAAAAATATGCCAGATGCCCCCTCAACACTTGGTGTAGGAGTGAGAGTGGCTATGGCAGAGTGGAACTCTGCTAGGCCCAATCTTCTGCTGACAAATAAGTTACAGCTGTTCCCTTGAAGCCCTAACTTGCACAAGGGCCATCTGGCTCAGGACTCCCGAAATTCAGACGCAGTCAAAAATCCAGCCCAATGGGACTGGTCACATTTAAAGTTAAGGACATGCATAAAGTTCTCTTGGGTCTTAGAGAAGAAAAACCCTTCATCTCCAAACCTGCAAATGTGTGTTTTGAAATGTTGGCATTACTTGTTAAGAAGTAAAACACAATGACGTGATGTTTTAGAAATTTTTACTCTTTAGTTATGATTAGTTTTAAAGGAACAATTTATAAAGCAAGGAGTCTTGTGTCAGAAAGCACTGTTTGGTTCCTAGATTTTCCATAGGAATTTTCAGTGCTTTACATAACACACAACAGGGCAGGGATATGTACTTTAGTAAGTCCTGTTTTATCATTAGTCAACCTTGATCTGTGGTATTGTCAGGGGCATAACAGCTTATGGTGCATAGACTTTATCACTGTATGATAAGGGTAGTAATACTGCATTATAAACTAGCAATTTTATATTTATTTGTCTAATAGAAATGCTATGTAGATGTGTACACTTGGAGGAGCCTTTCCAAGGCACAAAGTTCAGTGCCTCATTCCCAATGACTTCCCAACTGCCCTTTGTACCTTGGAAATCTCCCCCTAAGATTTTAAATGTTTGACAGTTTTAAGAAACGTATGCATATTTCTCCCCCAAATTTACATGTTAATATAAACCTAATAGTAACACTAAACACAACTGTATTCACTGATAAAGCAGAAGTTAACATTGCGCCCTTAAAATATGGTTTGGAAAACATCACACACTCAAGATGTGTGTGGGAAAAATTGGAGATTTATATTGCCACTAGTTCAAACACACACGTATATAAACAAGTTTTCATACAACATATTAGGAATTTGTAAACTTGATTTGAAATATCTTGAAATTGCATGTCTACTACTCAGTGGGGGGGGGGAGAAAGTGTGGGTGTGACTTCTAAATAAAAATTTTAAATGTGCAATTCTTAGAATTTTAAAATGAAGTGGATCATACACAAGTCAATAGGCCAAATCCTCAGGCAGCAGAAAGGGGTAGGAAAACTACAATAGCAGGGTAGCTGGAGATTTTTCTGGGGAAATCCCCAGATGCTGCATAGTCAGTTCTAAACCATCTGCTCCTGTCCTTTCCCCACCCAACTTCTCTAGGGGGCCATTACAAACCAGATTGGGAGCACAAATTTTCTTTACCTTTGTCCTCTCCTAAAGAGTGTTGAGCAGAGCTCTGGCACACCTGAATAGTTAAAGCTTTTATTGTCTGTGATCAGTAACTATCCCTATAGTAAATCATATTTACATTATCTTCTCTGATTTCATTGCATCTCCTTGGATGTACAGAAATGCAACTCGTTCAAGCCTGAGGACAGTGAATAAAATTCACCAGTATATTGTCCATATTGATAAATCTCATAACTTATACTATAGAATGTTCCTTAACGCTACCTTGCTTGTAAGTAGCTTGGTTTTATCATATAAATCAGTATAATTTTTATAGTCAGGAAACATTTGCTCCACAAGTTTGATTTCTCCATCATTCTCGCTTATATGACTCTGTAAGGGGGGAAAAAACAGTAATCAGTATTTGCTTTTTTATTTAGATTTAAACAATAAAAACTGACCACACAAATACTCTGGGTGGCCTAACAGTTAACTAGACTTGCAACTGTGATGCTGGCAGATCAGGTGTCAGCTCATGCCAAAGCCCCAAGCCTCAGTGAACACTGACAAATAGATAGCTGGAAACCAGTCTGGCTTACCTGTGTATTAGCATTGTTAAGATAAATATTAGAGTGGTAAGTATGTATTTGGTGTCTAGGTCTTATGAATAGTGCAGGATGCTGCATGTATTAATCTCATTCATAACCTCTGTAGTACATGCTTTGCATTGTAAACGTCTGTAATTGTGTAACTCACTGAACAGGAAAGAAGCATTAGTTAGTGTAAAGTGCTGGTCATGCAGACAAGAGGGCCTTTGAAACCAAATGAGACATTGTAAGACATCACAATGTCAAATACTTTATTTGCCCTCCCCACTCATATGAAGAGGAATCAAGGGCCAACACTTGTTCTATCAGTTTGGACTGTGAGGAAAAGGGGATGAAAATCCCTGATAAGGAGAAACTGGATCTTTATGCTATCTGGAGTCTGAGGAGCAAAATTCCTTTAACCAGAGCCGTCCCTAGGGTTGCCATGCCAGCTCCTTTCAGCTGGCTAAATTCACAATTCCAGCAGCCGCACTCGAACTCTCAGCCTCCCTCCGGAAAGGTAAAGCAGCTGCATTTCCACTAGTTAGTTTTGCTTTCCTAGTGCCTGGCGGAGAGCAATACTTAGATAAAGACAAGCTGGCAAAAGCTTAGTTTGGACATAAGGGAGGCACTGATAGTGTGTTAAGGGAAAGTGGGGGAAGTGATTTGTCCTTCCTATCCTTTCATTTAAAAAGTTTTCAATTTGGGGTGCTGCTGGATCCTCAATGACACCTGGAAGTACTGGTGGCACCAGGTCACTGGTGGTTGACAAATGTTAAAGCAGCACTTTGGACCAGTGGGATAAGGGGAGAGGTGCCAGACCAACACAGACTAGACCCAGATTCAGGGCATCACAAAGGACACCTTTGCCCCCATTAGTCTTCCTCTGATGTGCTGTGTACTCCTCTGGTGTGGCTGAGAATCTCGTCCGCTCTGTACTGTCTCTGGAACATATGTTTCCAATATTTACAAATATCCCTTCTTGTAATGTTAAATAATGCAAACGTAGTTTGAGTGTAATATCTAATTAAGACTATGTAACCAAAAAGTGTCTCCCAGCTTTAACACAGCTGTAAGCTTTAAAAAGCACTTTAATTCTAAACTGCAGTTACTTAATGACACAGTAAGATGCACTTCTCTTTTAACTATGTTAAATTAAGATGCTTTGAATACAAAGGCTCATTCTTTTCTGTGCTGAGATCTGTTTTGTGCAGGAGAAATGAGGAGCTGTTGGTTATAGTTCTCCAGGATGCTCTCACCTATGCCAGAGCTGGCACAGGCATATAGCAGCAACATTAAACAAACAACTGGTTATGGTCCCCAAAGACCATGCACCAGCTGGCATTGCTGAAGCACACAGTGATCCAGCTATGACCCCCCTGCCCACTCCCTGAGCTAGAGAGTGCAGGGGGCTAACAACTTCAGTGGAATTTAAAGACCGGCTCAAAGTTAAGTATGCAAATTAATTGTTTTGCTGAATTGGGCAGTATGACAGATATGCCAATTTCCTGCAATATCTTTGGGAGATCTTATTGAATTAAGTTTACGTATCTTTGAAGTCCGTTATGTTAAATGCAAAGGTGATGTATGTAAGGGCCTCACTGATCAATGGACTACACCGAACAATGTGGCAGACAAGAATGAACTTTTGGGAAAATGCATGTGAAGTGGATTTCCTGGGAAATATCTAGGGGGAAGTTAATGCAAATCCCCACCCCTGCCTCTGGTTATGCAAAATCCCAGCCCTGTGAAGCTATGGCCTGAAGAGAGAGAGACTGTCTGCTAATTACCTGTTCCCAGGGTCCCAAGCTCGAAGACCCAAACTGTATAAAGGAGTGACTCACACATTTATAGGTGTGCTCGTTCTGAGCTAACAGCTGAAAACCCCTTGGTGGGGTTTGAAGAACTGACCACTGGCCAGACCCTGTGTTGGAGAAGGGGGGTGATCTTCGGTAAGCTTATCAGGTTCATGTATTGTTTTAATATGTTTTCCTTGTAATGCTTTTACCTTAAGAATAAACGTGCTTGCTTAGAAAGGGCGATTGGTAACTTCTAACTGTGGGCAATTACACTGTATATAGCCTTGGAGGAGAAATCAAAGCAGGCCTGGTTAGGCAATCTGACTTGCTGGGGAATTCACAGAGTAGGCAGGGAACTGCACAGCCTGGTAAAACCTTAGTCAGGAGAGACAGAGACACATGTATCCACCCGAGACAGGTGAGATGAGGATCTGGGAGTCTAGTGTGGGTGTCCTTGCTGGGCTGTGAGGGGGAATACAGGTGTAGTTGCCCTGAACTATGACAGGCAATATCAGATAAACAGTGAAGCTTCTGAAACTGATTTCTCATTAATATTTCCTGCCCTGTGAGTTTTCTCCCAGTGCAAAAAGGTATTTAGAGAGCTCACAAATCCTACCTGCACGTAGATGTCACGAGCCTTCGCAAAGTCACCAAGTCTACTCAGCAACTTCTCAGTGCAGGAAGGTCCAAAACGAGGCGTCACTATGGGTTGTACCTTTTGATACTGAAAATATTCAAATTGCATACTTGAGATTGCAAATAAGAATCTGTGCATCAGGGCCAAGAGTGCACTGACCCTCCAGCTTATATGATGATGAAAAAGGAGTGGGCTTTATTTTGTATTGTTTTCTTTTTCTACTGCATCCATTGCTCATATGAATGCATCTCTATACAGCAATTTTCTGATTTTTATTACAACCATTGTCACAGGAATAGAGAATCAAAGTTTTTTCAATAAGTCATTTTAGTAGACTATAAAGATTTTTCCATAAGCAACCTTCCCTGAAATCACTGAGATTTTAACTGGACTGGAAGAATATATTCATGTCCATTGTCAAAAGGCAGCTATGCATTGGCCAGTAAGGGGTGAATTAGGTAATTTAATAGGCTTTTCCCATCTCTGATTTCTATGATCCAGATTGTGCCACTAAGCGTATGTCCACACTGCAATAAAATACCCAGCGCACAGCCACTCAGGCTCATGAAGCTTGGGCTGTGGGGCTATAAAATAGTAGTGCAGGTCGTGAGGTCTCAGAGCCCGGGCTCCAGCCCGAGCCTGAATGTCTACACTGCTATTTCTAGACATGCAGCTTAAGTCCCGCGAGTGCAAGTCAGCTGACCCAGGCTCTTGGACTTGGTGTCACAGGTTTTTTATCACCGTAAACAGGACTTAAGACACAGCTTAAGTAGGGGTTGATGCAGGCTGCAGGTAGTTCCAGGAAGCACTGGACTTCCTGTGCCTTCCTCTTGTTCCAGTTTCTCCACCCTATGCAGGTGCATTGGCTACAATCAGGCTCCTGGCTTCCATAGACAGGAAGATTAGTGAGATGACCAGACATATTAAGTAAGGAAGGCATTTGTGATCTATAGTATACAGGAGGCCAGACTACAATATGATCTACTGATCCCTTCTGGCCTTAAACTCTAGGCCTCTAAGATAACTATACTCAACAAAGTAGAATTAGCCATTAAATTTAAGCATGGCGTTTTGGGTTGAAGATTGCCAACAGAATAGAAAATAGCATAACATTCACAGGGGTCTGACAGGCAAGTGCCAGGCAACTACTGGTCTCTCTGATGGCCCTCACATGCCAGCCTGTCATTATGCATGTGACACCACTAGAGAAGAGTGCCAGATGTTTTGGCCTGCAGTCTCTTCAACTCAGCTCCCAGCTGCAGTTTGAAAATCAGGTCACTTATTTAGGTAAGTAAATATGGATTTAGGTGCCTAACTTTAGGCATCAATCTTGAAATCTTGGCAACAAGTATCATACAAATGAACCACTGAAAAAAGAAATTTAACAAGGAAAAGCCGTAACATTCCTTGACTATAGTAACAGTGCCATAAAATATATCTGCAGATTTTCGTTAGAATCTTCTTCACACATGTGACCGAATGTGCTGATCCAAAAAACTAATGTGGAAAAGTATTATTAACTGCAGTGTAAAGTTGTGGCACCATACTGCCGTTACCTTAAAAGGCAACTATTTTTTCTGAGTTAAACAAAGATTTCTCTTCGTAGCATGGTTTATAAACAGTGAAATGATTTATTAGCTTATTTCTTCCTATGACCATAGAATTGTTCTTTGTAGGAAGCTGAGCAGTTTTAAAGAAAATAAGTTATTTTTCAAAGTATAGTATTCTGCAGTGCTCTGACCAAACAATATTGAATGCATTGTGTCACACTGACATTTGCCAACTCAAACCCACAGCTCCCAAACAAGTTTGTACAGATTAAGGATTTAATTAGTCATTAAATCTATCTTTACTGATTTGTCACTAGGGTTAACAATTTTATTCATTCAAACTGGATTGTTTTCTTCCAAATCTTCATTTTATTTTCATAGAAAAAAGGGAATGCAAAAGTGAATATAAACAAAGGAGAAATGAATTTTAGCCATTTCATACAGCAAATAGGAAAAAAAGTACATGACAGTACAGAATGTGGGTTACGCTGCTGATAAAAAAGCAACTCTACTTACTTTCTTTTCTAGTAGTTCTTTAACAAACCTGAAGGGGGAAAAAAGTAACCAGTATTATAAATTAAGAAATCTAGGAAAAATATTTACCGTAGTGTTTTATTAAGTGTTTCACGTGTGAATTGGTTTTATGTAGAAAGTTGAAAACTGTAAGGGTCAGTTTCTGAGCTAGTGTAAATCAGCATAGATCTATTGAAGTCAGTGGAACTACACCAATTTTTACCAGCTGAGAATCCAGCCCTAAATATGCAGAAGTTTTATCACTTGTAGTAATTAACCCCAGACATGTGGTAATTACTCTGTGTTCTCATTGGAAACCAAATACATGTTATACTAAATCAACAGAAAGCATGATTATATGCTATAGCAGCCCTATTAAAAAATACATCTTAATTTTGGCTGCACATGAATTTAAATCAGAGCATAGAATCTATTCTATTATTTAAAATCCTATTTTTAGAACATTGCAATATTTTATGCTTCATTTACAGTAGTTACATATATTGAGATTTAAACTGATAGACTCTCTATCCTTCATTCACTTAAAGTGCCCAGAGGGGTATCCAATATTTACACATTTGAAAACACAATGTGGACTAGTTTGTTCCATTCAAAACTAAAGAGTAGAGCACAAGTGGCTCTACAAATATATTTTTTTTAAAAATGAGGTCAGGACATTAGAGATGAGCTAAAGCTGGCCCCCAAATCATACCATGTCCCCACATCTTGGAATGTGGGAGTATTCTGAGGGCCTGTGATGCAGGGAGACAAGATTCTAATGTTCCTGTAGGTGAGAGGGTCCTAGGGGCCCACCAGTGGGTGGCAGGGTGGGGGCAGGAAAGGTCCTTGGCGTTTGGAGGTTCACTGGCAACAGAGGTTCTTGCAAATCTTGGACAGTTCAGGGGTTTGGTTTCAGTTTTCAGTGTAATCAGTTTCATCTACTGTAGTTTCAGGTTTAAATACAGGTTTTTTTAAAATCTAGACTTTCCCACCTACTTTCCTCCCAGTCCTGCCCACTTACCACTTTCTCTCCACACTTTGGTACAAGATAAATGCAAGGTATTATATATCGCCTCCATATATATGATATAAACAGTTTGCTGTAAGTTATTGGAATCTATATGATAAATTATGGGACTATGTGATAAACCACATTTATTTCATTCTTTTGACTTCCTAACCTAACTATGCTCATGAATTTACCTCTAATATTCTAAAATTCTGAGCAGTTTTCAAATCGTGACCATATTTAAAAAAATTAAGTTGAACATGCCGAAAAACTTTCCTTTTTTAACAGAAAGGAAGAGTTTCTCCCACTTCATGGCTGAAGTCCATGTCACACAAAAGCAAACGTTCCAGGCTGGACACAGCTATCTTATCCATGAGAGTTGGAATTCCTCTTTTCCAAAATTATAGAGCATCCATTCTTATTATAGTCATGATACTGAATCTCAAACACATGACAGGAAAGCTGTTTTAGATCATTCTGATGTTTTAAACAAGTACCAGAACTGAAGGTCCTCTCTCTCTAATGCAGCAGTTCTCAACCCGTGGTTCAATTAGCACACAGCTGTGGCCCAGCTCAGCTGGGTGCTCAAGGCTGGCTCGCCTGGCAGGGTCTGGGTTCCTGGCTGCCCAGCGTGGTGGGGCCTGGGCTGCCCCGCTGCCCAGCATGGTGTGGTCGGGGTCAGGGTCAGGGTCAGGTCCGGGCTGCCAGCCCACTCCACATGGCGGGAGTCCGGGGTTGAGGCTGCCGGCCGGCCCCGTGGGGTCGGGGGCCTGGGGAAGCTGCAGGGGTGGGGGTCCGGGGCGGTCAGCTGGCCCCATGTGGTGGGGTCTGGGATCTGGGGCGGGAAGCCCCCCCAGCCCCACACAGTGGGGGTTGGGGGCCAGGCTGCCACTGACCTATCATTCAGCCCCTGTGGCCCAAGTAACACAGTGTGGGCTGCATATGCAGCTCATAATGATAAATAAGTTGAGAACCACTGCTCTAATGCTTGTACTGCTGGAGTTGGTACTAAGGAAACCTGGGTGAACAGCCAAGGGAAAAAAACATTAGTACAACACTAATAATCTTTAAACCTTTTTTTTAAAAAAACCCTCTTCTTTAAATATATGCCATTAAAAAAATCCATGATAACTTGTAGTGGTAAAAAGATTTTACTAGCATTCACTTGGGATAACCTACATAAGTAATGTGGGAATTCCAAACTCACTCCATAAAATATTTAGATTGCCGTATGTTACCTTATCCTGTATTCCCAATATGGTCCTGATCCTGCAAACACTTAAGCATTTGTGTGACTACTCATATGAGTAAAATTACACATGTGCTCAAGTACTTGCAGGGTAGTGACCTCACAAAATGGCTCCCAGATCAGCATGCATCCATACACCAATCTGGTGCCCAGTCTAATTCATTGTTGTATCAGGTCCTTCATGTTAAACCTCAGCCTTTTCAGAAGAGTCATTAAAAGAAGCATGTGTACACTGTATGGACCAGATTCTTCTCCCATTTACACTGTTGTAAATTAGGAGAAATTCCACTGACGCAGATTTTGTTGCATTAGTGGAAAACTCATGTGAGAGGAGAATCAGACTTTTTTTTTTTAAAGGAAGAATAAAAATTACTTCCTACACTTTAAAGTTTTAGGCTTAATCATTAACTAGCCTTCCTGTCCTTTTTCACTTTTATTAAAAATACAATTTCTAAAGATAATACTATCAGTATAATCATTTTACCTTTCTGTCTCCTTGAGAGATTCATCAGTGGTTTCCTTGTATTCTGGAACAATTTCATTGATATCCATGCAAACTTTTCCAACAAATGCTCGCTGACCAAATTTATCTGTGAAACGTATAACAGAATAAAACTCAAAATTAGTTGTTTTCCAAACAAACTGCTAGCAAGACCTGCACTTAAAACCAGAGTAACAAATTCTGGCCCAGATAACTTCATTTAAGAGTGAACAGGGCAATGTTCTTTTCTTCATCTTTAGACTGAGACTTTTTAGCCCAAAAGGAAAATATTTTGAGAAAGTAATGAGCAACAGAGATTTAAATGGACACTCTGAACATTACCCTAGTACTCGCTACTGAAAACATTATAAATAAGAGCTAGATCGTGCCAGTTACACATAGTCCAGAGTGCAAAACTGCTGAAGGAAGAGCACTGGCAGGCAAACTGCCTCCCAGAATTCCCCAACCACAGGGGGAGCATGCATGCCACCACACCCTTTTGTGGCATGCAGCCTGCTCCTTCCTGTGTGCCATCTGACTGCACGGGTCAGTTGGAAGTCAGAGCCCACCTTCTTGTCCCTTTTGTGCAGTGCTTAATTTGTAATGACAGAGATGCTTGGGCTCAAGCAATTTTTTTACATTAATAACTGGTGCAGCAAGCCCAGAGGTGACAGGGCTAGGAATTGCCAAGCCTAATGGTGCCAGGGCTGAGCCCTGGCAAAAATTAAGCACTGCTTTTTGGGCACTGTGCATCCATTAGGTATTGGGGAGGGACTGCAATTCTGCCTGGATCTTCCATGGACCACACCAGTGCTGCACAACCACTGCAGCACACCTCCAAAAGAGCTGGGCAGAATCTAGTCATTAGTGAACACACTGTTCCTGTCTTCATAGGCATGTGGCAATTCTCCACAGGGCCATATTATTGGAGGTTAACGTATCCCCCATCCATATTACATATCATTTGAAAGCTTATTTTATGTACATTTAGAAGAGGTATAATGTGGAACTGTCCAGTGGTGCTGTAGGTGAGGTGAAACAATGGTACCCAGAATGAGAGCGTGTCACTTTTGCACAGTTCCAGAAACACTGCAGCATGACTACGACTACAGTTTTTCTGTTTAAATTAAACAGCAGATTAAGGTGCTAAAATTATAGGTCAAAGCTACCAAATGACAATACATTAAAAGACCCTTTGGTGTTTTTGCATGGGCAAGCATTGGGTTTTTTGCCAGAAATGATGAAGTTGTTTGGCATCTGCAATATGCAATTTTGCAATATACTAGCACAGTGGTTCTCAACTTATTTATCATTGTGGTCCGCATATGGATCCTGGACCCCCACCGCGTGGGGCCAGCCGGCTGCCCCGGACCTCTGCCATGCAGCTGTCCCGGGGCTTGCAGGGCCAGGCGGCTGCCCCAGAGCTGGCGGGACCAGGCACCCACCCCTGACCTTGCAGGGCCGTCGGGAGCCCTGGACCCCCAACCCCACCAGCCAGCAGCCTTGACCCTGGACCCCCACCACGCAGGTCAGGCCGGCAGCCCCGACTGGACCCTGACCCCACCATGCTGGGCAGCAGGGCAGCCCAGACCCCACTGCGCCGGGCAGCGGGGCAGCCCGGACCCCACTGCGCCAGGCAGCCGGGAACCCAGACCCCACCATGCGGGCCGGCCTGTAGCAAGCAGCTGAGCTGGGTCACACCTGTGTGCTAAATGGGCCAAATGCAGCCCGCAGGTTGAGACCGCTGTATTAGCATGAAATGTTTTCACATCGCATATTCTTAATTGTCAAAGTACCTCACAGTGATTATAATAGTTTTTTTATATTTTCAATTGATATTTTCTGACCAGATCAGTCTCATACTGAAGGTTGTGTACCTGTAGCAGTAGATTGCACGCCCATACTTTGTACTGCATAGTGGGTAGATATAGATGTATGTGAATTACTAATGCAATGCTTCCATTTGTAAGCTTTTGTACATACAATGTAGCATCTAGTCTGCCTGGTAGAAGGTTTTAAATTGTAATTGCCTGTGCATACAGGACTAGCCTTTGAAATATTCTAAAAAATTAGCTTTTTAGTTCAATGACACTTATGCACAGTTTACTATTAGTATTAGAGATGACAATACACAGCTTCAATCAAAGTGCTCACTAATCAAAAATGGGCATTTTGATACTGACATAAAAACATAAGCATGGCCATACTGGGTCAAACTAATGGTCCATCTACCCAGTATCCTGTCTTCCGACACTGTCAAATATCAGACACTTTAGAGGGAATGAATAGAATGGAGCAATTATCAAGTGATCCACATACCCTGTCATCCAGTCCCAGCATCTGGCAGTCAGAGGCTTAGGAATGCTGAGAGCATGGAGTTGCATCTCTGACCATTGTGGCTAATAGCTACTGATGTACCATATCTAAATCTTTTTTGAATACAGTTATAGTTTTGGCCTTCACAACATCCTCCGGCAATGAGCTCCACAGGTTGACTGTGCATTGTGTGAAGAAGTATTTCCTTTTGTTTGTTTTAAACCTGCTGTTAATTTCATTAGGTGATCCCTGGTTCCTGTGTTATGTGAAAGGGTAAATAATGCTTCCTTATTCACTTTCTCCACATCATTCATGATTTTATAGACCTCTATCATATCCCCTCTTAGTCATCTCTTTCCCAAGCTGAACAGTGCCAGTCTTTTTCATCTCTCCACATACCAAAGCTGTTCCATAGCCCTAATCGTTTTTGTTGCCCTTCTTCGTAACTTTTCAATTTCTAATAGATCTTTTTTGAGATGGGCTGACCAGAACTGCACACAGTATTTAAGATGTGGGCATAACATGGATTTATATAGTGGCATTATGATATTTTCTGTCTTATTACCTATCCCTTCCCTAATGGTTCCTAATATTAGCTTTTTTGACTGTTAACTGCACATTGAGCAGCTGTTTTCAGAGAACTATCCATAATGATTTCAAGATCTTTCTTCAGTGGTAACAGCTAATTTTGATCCAATTATGTATGTATGTATGTATAGTTGTGATTATGTTTTCCAATGTGCATTACTTTGCATTTATCAACACTTAATTTTAAGGGGGGGGGGGGAATAGCTCAGTGGTTTGAGCATTGGCCTGCTAAACCCAGGGTTGTGAGTTCAATCCTTGAAGGGGCCACTTAGGGATCTGGGGCAAATATCAGTACTTGGTCCTGCTAGTGAAGGCAGGGGGCTGGACTCAATGACCTTTCAAGGTCCCTTCCAGTTCTAGGAGATAGGATATCTCCATTAATTAAAAAAAAAAATAATTCAATTCATCTGCCATTTTGTTGCCCAGTCACTCAGTGTAGCGAGATCCCTTTGTAGTCTGCTTTGGATTTAACTATCTTGAGTAATTTTGTATCATCTGCAAATTTTGCCACCTCACTGTTTACCTTTTTTTCCCAGATCATTTATGAATATGTTGAGCAGCACTGGTCCCAATACAGACCCCTGGGGGACACCACTATTTACCTCTCTCCATTCTGAAAACTGACTATTTATTCCTATCCTTTTGGTTCTTGTCTTTTAACTAGTTTCTGATCCAGAAAAAGATATTCCCTCTTATCCCTTGACAGCTTAGGCTAGGTCTACACTACCCGCCTGAATCGGCGGGTAGAAATCGACCTCTCGGGGATCGAATTATCGCGTCTCGTCGGGACGCGACAATCGATCCCCGAATCGACGCTCTTACTCCACCAGCGGAGGTGGGAGTAAGCGCCGTTGACGGGAAGCCGCAGAGGTCGATTTTGCCACCGCCCTTACAGCGGGGTAAGTCGGCTGCGATACGTCGAATTCAGCTACGCTATTCGCGTAGCTGAATTTGCGTATCTTAAATCGACCCCCCCCCCCCGTAGTGAAGATGTAGCCTTAGTTTGCTTAAGAGCCTTTGGTGATGGACCTTGTCAAAGGCTTTCTGAAAGTCCAAGTACACTGTATCCACTGGATCACCCTTGCCCACATGTTTTTGACCCTCTCAAAGAATTCTAGTTGATTGGTGAGGCATGATTTTCCCTTTACAAAAGCCATGCTGACTCTTCACCAACAAATCATGTTTACTGATGTCTGATAATTCTGTTCTTTATTATGGTTTCAACTAATTTGCCTAGTAATGAAATTAGGTTTACTTGCCTGTAATTGCCAGGATCACCTCTGGAGCCTTTTTTTAAAAATTGGCGTCACATTAGGGATCCTCCAGTCATCTGGCATGGAACCCAATTTAAATGATAGGTTACACACCACAGTTAATAGTTATGCAATTTCATATTTGAGTTCTGTAGCGAGGAAGTGTGGCCTTCCTCACAGGCAGAAGTGGAGGGATGCCGCAAGCCACCTGGTGGGTGGAACCAGGAGGGCCACGCCCTGCACGCTAGAAGCAGAGGGGGGGGACGGGAAGGGGAAATATAAAAGGCCAGCCCAGCAACTCATTCTGGAGGGAGCTGCCGAAGGGGAGACGTGCTTCTTCCCCGCTGCTGGAGTTGGAAGCCAGGGAGAACCGCTGCTGGCATGAGGACCAGCTTGAGCTTCCAGAGAGCCCTGTCACCCCCAATGCTGAGGAGCTGCTACCACTTGGCAGAATATCTTGGGGAGACTGATGGGGAAAATAGGAAGCAGCCCAGGGGAGCCACACTACCATCTGGCTATGGTGACGCTGGAAACACGCTCATCATGTTGCGGGTGGATTCCCCGCTGACCCAGTTGCAGACCATTCTGCCACTGTTAGGGCCTTGGGCTAGGACGCGGTGCAGTTGGGTGGGCCCGCATCCCCCCTGCCACCCCACCCCTAGGGTTGCAGTACTCCCCCCTCCTTAGCCCACGAGGCCTGCGCTCCTTGGGAATACCTACTTGAGCCCCATTGACTGTGTTTGGTGCTCACTCCTGCCGGAGCCCTGCTTAAAGACGGGGTGAATAAACTGCTACAGCTCTACCTGACTGCAGACCAAAGCCCAGCCTGTTTATAGCCCTGCCCTTCTTGAAGGCCGGAGCCCCTTGAAAACCACTAATTCCCCCCTTTTGTTCTTTGCTTGGAAAAGACTCTAGCAGACTAAGGAGGAGGTGTGGCCTCCCTCAGAGGCAG